GAAAATTTGAACACTTAAAAGAAAATAAAATAGACATAAAGAAATCCCATTCCTTCTTCCTTATAGCCAGCCTGTAATTTCATCATATTACTACAATGTACGGGTAAAAAAAAAAACGGAAAAAAATTTTTTTTTCAAATATTTAAAATATGAAACAAATGAAGAGAGAGAGAAAGAGAAAGAGACAAAGAGAGAGAGAGGGGGAGAGAGAGAGAGGGAGAGATAGAAAAATAAACAAATGAAAGCATCGATGTTTTAAAAAGAAAAATAAATTAAAATTTCAAACTTGAAATTTAAATTATAGCTAAAAAGAAAACAACAACTTTTTCATCCCAAAAACGGATTATTTTAATAATGATGATAAATTTTATATATTCTTCTCGTTCTTTCTTTCTTTCTTTTTTTTTATCTTGTCTTAAAAATTTTCAAATTTCGCTCTCTTCTTCCTGCTCATTGTCAAGCTTAATTGTTGGCTTATCAGCGCTTAACCGTAGCAAGAAATCATCGCTGCTTAACGCGCTTGTTATGTCCGTACCCTTCAATTAGATGCTTCTTAAAAAAAACTTTTTTCAGGGACGAACAGTTGAAATAATATTTTACAAAAAAGATTGAAATATAAAATGTACAAATCGTTCATAATTTTCCATACTCATACATTTATTTATAATTCGTAATTAATCCATTTTAATTATTATAAAAAATTAAAATTTGAAAAATTTATAAATAGAGCTTACTAATAAATTATATGATGTTGAATTTCTAGAAAAATTTATTTCCTTTTCTTTTTTTATTATGAAAAAATCCCGTAATTATTCATGTAAAAATGTTAACTTATATTGAATTATTATTATTATTGTTATTATTATTATTATTATTATTATTATTATTATTGTTATTATAATTATTACTGTTACTATTATTATTATTATTATTATTATTGTTATTAGTAGTAGTAGTATTAAAGGTAAATGGAAGATCTTTATAATAATCTATTGTGAACAAAATTTGCAACATAAATAAGCAATTGATTAAATTGTTAGAATATTAGAATTAAGATAATATAAATATCTATATAATATTAAAATTATACATATATATATATATATAAATGTTATAAGGTAAGAATAATACTTACCAAAGCATTAGCAATATGTGTTTTCTTATGGCGCAATAAATTGTCTTTTCTGTTGAATCTGAAATAAACAACGATAAGCACCTAATTTGTGTATCAATAAACTTTTTGTATAGAAATGAAAATATGTCGCAAAATTGATATTTGAATTTTCTATCAAATGAAATTCTAAACTAACTTATATCGAATTTTGTAGAAGTATTTCTTACTTTCACGTCATTTCATATTTTATGTCTTGAAAAAGAAAATTCCATACGTGTAACAACATTAATGTATTAAAAGTTTAGGCTAACATTTTAAGAGTTTTAGAAAATTTAATAAATTTAAGAATTAATAGGCAAATCCTTCCTCTTTCATATTACTAAATAATATAAATGGATTAATTCTTTTTTCCTAATTTAATCAAATTCCTAAATATCTTGAAATAACCTGGAAATATTTGTCCACTTTCACTTTCCCATATTCTTTTTCAATGGTCATTACATGGATATACATTATATATATATATATTATAACATATATATATATATATATATATGTGATAAAAATTCATTTAAAAATAATAATTAAAATTTTAACATACCTTTTGCCACAGAATGGACAACAATGAGGCCGTAATCCAGTATGTATAAATTGATGCTTCTTCAATAAAAATTTGTTTGCAAATCGCTTATGGCAGCTAGTATGTTCACATGTAAATGGTTTCTCTGCTGAAAATAAACCATTTCAAACATTTGAAATTTGTAAAAAAGGAAAAGAAGTTATTCCCAAACATTTCAAAGTTGAAAATTATTGCAATGTTTGCAATTGCAATAATTTTCTTTTGGTAATTATATAAATTACACTCCGGGTTAATTAATGTCAATTAATTTTCTTTCATTTTTTGGGAAGCAAATTTTAGGATGCTTCATAACGGAAAATTGTATTGCAATATTTGTTAAAATATTCTCGCTATATGAAAGTCTTTTCGAGTAACAAAACTGTTTGGCAGAATTTCTCTCTCAACTCAAACTTAGATTTCTAAACTCATATCTTTACCTTTTTCAATTTATTTGTTTTCTGAAATTTCAAATAATTTAAAATTGTTAAAGAAAATAACCGAGATCAGCAGCAATATAGGTGGTTTCATCGACATTATTGGATGAATCGCTTGGTGAAGGACTTGATTCATTTGAATTCTTTTCAGCTAATTCAATATTTCCATCTTCTAAATTATCACCAAATTCCGTCAAGGAATCGTTTTTGAAACTGAAAAAACAAAAGTGAAAATCGTTCGTTCATTTGAATTCTAAGTTTAAATTTTAAAGTTCATATAGTATTTTAAAAATAAAAAAATTAAAATCTGTGAAGCATTATTTAACATAAAACTAGACAAGATATTTATTTTACAATAAAATCGTTCATGATATGAGAGAAACTAGCAGTATTCGATCAAAACATTTTCGTTTGAACTATTTAGAAATTCAAATATTTAATTAGAATTTTATGCTTTGCTTTTTTTTAATGAATATATTTTTAAAAAGCACAAAATATACAAATAATGACCAATGAATAAAGAACACCAAGAATTATCGGATCGATTAAAGGAAAAAATGTCGTTATGTATAACCGGATATGACCTTGGGACCTTTTAAGTGGACAGTTGAAATGGAAAAGGATAGATAGGAATGGGATGATGCGGAGAAATTGAAAATTTTTATCATCTTAATTAATCGGAAATTTCAGAAAAACAGCGTTAATATATTGCTGATAAAAATCACTGATAATTGTTTAACAACTTCATTAAATTTATCATCCTAATTGCTGCTCAATGATACAATATGATTGTTAGCCTATTAAACTATTTTTTCATCTACTCCAAACTTATTCCTTGCCTTATATGATAGCATTACGATACGATTAAACGATACGAATCAAATATATTTAATTCAAACAAAAAACCTAAATAATATATTATCCGAATTAATTAATTAATCAATCAACAACTAATTACAGTCTGTTTCCTATTTTAGTAACTAAAACAAAGTGAATGAAGAAAAATTGAATTAAATATTAATTTTTTTAAAAGTATTTTCAAAGCACAATTTTTTTTTTTTGATTTTTAAAGATTTATTTAACAATTATAACTTTTGTGTAAAAAAAATGTGAAAATGAAATGATAATGATATGGAGAGGGAGAGAGAGAGAGAGAGAGAGAGAGAGAGAGAGAAGAGAGAATGGAATGGAAAAATGGAGACATTTTGTATGAGTATAAAAGAAATTAATGAAGAAACAGGTTGGAAAATTAAGATGCTTTCCCTCTTTTCATTCTCTTCAAACAGTTCATTAACTGATGGATGACAAGGTCAAAGCGTTCCTCAAACTAACATTTACCAATGTTTGCCGTACAAACTTCAATCACCCAATTTATTTGCCGCATTTGCTTAATTTGACTTCTTTTTGACAACCTCATTTAGTTGAGTTGTACGATACGATATTTCGTCATCATTATAAAACATCAAATATAAATGATAATTTGTCGAAAAAAAAAAATTTCATCATAAAAAAAAAAAACGTATGTGAAATAGAATGATAAGTTGATTTAAGTGATAACGAAATATATACGTATATTGGCATAAATCTAATTCCCTCAAAGAAATAGGATGATAAGTTGATTTAAGTGATAACGAAATATATACGTATATTGGCATAAATCTAATTCCCTCAAAGAAATAGAATGATAAGTTGATTTAAGTGATAACGAAATATATACGTATATTGGCATAAATCTAATTCCCTCAAAGAAATAGAATGATAAGTTGATTTAAGTGATAACGAAATATATACGTATATTGGCATAAATCTAACTCCCTCAAATCTATCTTTCTTTTAAAACAATATTTTTGTATAGAATAAATTTCCGATACATTACCCCAATAAATATATGTATAAAAAGATTTTGATAAAAAGCAATATCAAGAATGAAATTTGAACAAAATGATAATTAATATTAAATGAAATTTGATATATTAATTGATATGGAATTAAAAAGATATAATTTTGATAAAATTATCAAATTTCTTCCTATATTAATTATCATTTCGCAAAAGAATAATATAATAATCTAACATTAAAACAATGGAAAAAAAAAAGAAGAAATTACCTGAATTTTTTCCTTACCTGTAAAAAATTTCTATCATTTTTACGCTATAAAGAAATACTATTTTGAAGGATCTTTTCTTTTTCTTGCTCGTTTTTCTTCTTCTTCTTCTAACTTTGAAATACACCTTTACCAACAATATTTCATAAATGAAAAAAGAGAATTCACCTTTTGCATACACTAAGTTATGGCAATAAGAAATATTAATTAATTACTTCCGTCCATTTTACTGCAAAAAAAAAAAGTTGATGAAAAAAGAAGAAGAAGAAGAAGTTTGTAGTGAGATGAAGAAGAAAAGGTAAGGAGGAATAAAGTCGTAAAATTGAACAAAGTACAGTTGAAAGAAAATTAAGTATGAAATACAATTTTGTTTCAATGAGAATAGTCGAATTAAATGATTGAGAAGCTAATAAATTCTCAAATTGATGATAACAAACTGATTGCTTCAACTTTGTAATCAAACATGACATTTTAAATGAACTTACACAAAAATGATCATATCAGAATTTCGGCATTTTTTTTTTTTGTGCTTCCTTCCTCTTCTAAAAATTTTTATCACTAATTAATTGATTTAAAACAATTCATCTAATTTCCTTCCCGATTCCATCGTCGTTTTATTCATTTCTCATTGAAAAATGTGCAAATAAAAATTGCAACTTTCAATAATGATTATCTTATTAAAAAAAAAAAATGACACTAATCAGAATTAACAATTCATTAATGATAATTAATTGTTTTAAAGAAAAAATGGATTATTTCATATTTTAAATGATAAAAATTGTGGAATAATTAAAAGAAAAAAAAAAGTTGATAATTTGATAAGAATTATCATAATATTTAAATAGAATAGAATATATTCCCTTTAAGATGATATACTCTTTTTCATTCTTTCCGTTCTTTCATGATAAGAAGAGAGAGAGAGAGAGAATGAATTTGAAAACGAAATGTAAATCGTAAATTTCAATCAATAATTTAATACTTTGATAAACAATAAAATTTATGCTTTTTAGGTGCTAAAATTTAATTTCACATATCAAACTGGCAGATACATGAAAAGTTGAATTTTCTTCCAATTAATAATGTTGTAACGGTAAAAAAAAAAAATTTCATCAAATATTGTTTTAAAAGATATGAAGAAAAAAACGAGAGAAAGATTGATTATTTAATTTAAGAGTAATGATAATGACATTCTGTTGCAAGAAGTTTTTGGAGGAAATTACGGTAGGAAAAAAATTTTAGTGAAAGAGGTAGAGAGTATGAGGTGCAAAGGGGACGAGGAAGAGGAGGAAGAATAGGAGGAGGAGGAGGAGGAAGAGGAGGAGGAGGAGGAAAAGGAGGACGGAGAGGAGGTATATGGTATATAACAGGATTTTCAGGAATGTTGTCGAAACCTCATTTCTCAAAAACTTTTCGACAATGTACAAACACACATACATATGAATATATAATATACTTGAATAAATAAATACAAATAGATGGACATACCACACACCATACACACACCACACACACACACACACACACACACACACACACACACACACACACACAATACGTAAGCGAAATGAGTTTCAGCAGAATTTTTGAGTGTAAATTACGGTAGTTTCGCGCATTATAAGTAGAAAAATTGTGGTGACAAAAATAGCAAATAAGTAATTGTTAGTAATAAGATATTAATGTTGATACTAATAATATCAGCTCTAATGAAGGACTGCTAACAATGATAATAATGGTACAAATAAGAGAAATGCAGTAGCAATTAATAAAATGATAGTTATAAAATTAATGATAATAAATATGATGATAATTATTATAGCAATAACAAACATATAACCAAAAATAATAATAATAGCAAATTATTATAGTATTAGCAATAATAAATAAATATGATAATTGTGGTAAATTATAAGAAAATGTTAAAAAAAAAAGAAATTAAATTATTTATTATTATCAGCTCTAATGAAGGTTATATGTTTGTTTATAGAGTTTATTAAAGTTTATCATAGAGTTTATCACTCTAATACATCCATCCTATTATCAGCCATTTATTTCTTCATCCATAATATCTTCCTTCAATATTGCGGTATATCGTAGGAGAGATAATAAGCTGGTTTTCAATCACTACACACACACACACACACACACACACACACACACACACACACATACACACACATACACACACACACACAATACTATCTCTCCCTCTCTTTTTTTCTTTTCTCCTTCATTCCGCTATCTTCGTTGATATTTCTTACATCATTCATCAATGATTTCCACCCGCGTTTCTTTCTATTAAACCATCTCATAATCATATATATATCCATATCTATCACTCTTCGAAATATTCCTCTATCACTATCATGAATTTTTGATCAAATTGAATGAAGTGACCGATTTAGCTTTTCGTTACCAAATTCTTTTCTCTTTTTTTAAATTTCATCTTATCATCACAAAATTTTACAATATTTCAATCCTTGTTTTTTTTTTTTTTGGATATTATACATAATAACAATGAGATTGATGATTGGCGCTGATAAAAGAAATGATAATTATAATTAGCTGATGATAACCTAATAAACGACTAAACAAAAAAAAAAAGATAATAAATACAAAAGAAAAGAAATGTTACGATGACATAACAAAATGTGACTAATAATGATTACGATGAAGTTATTAAGGATAGTCTATAATAACGATAATTACGATGATAAGTAGTATAATAGGAACAAAAATTTAGGCGAATTTATAAACTTCACCAAATTATTAAAAATTTCGTTCAATTTCATAAAATAGAAGTATAGTAGTGGCTGCCGTTTGTAATGCAAGCGATATTAAAACAACAATCGTGCGAACGGGACGAGTTGCTTTTTTCTAATTTTAAAACAATCTACAACTGCTCCTCCCAAAGGTAAATCACAATAATCGCGGAAAATGAAAATGCGAATATATTTTCTTGCAGTAGTAGTGAGAACGTAATGAAAATAGCGATAGCCACGAAAGCAACAGTAATAATAATAACAATAATAATTAATAGTAATAATAATAACAATAATAATAATAATTAATAATAATAGAAAAAATAAAAATAACAATAACAATAACAATTCGTAGTAATAATAACAACTCATAATAATAATAATAATTTCTTAATAACAATAATACATGATAATAATAATTCATAAATAATTCATTATAATAATAATAATAATAATAATAATTAATGATGATAATAATAAATAATAGATAATAGAAGTCATAAAAAAATTATACAAATCAGTCATTACTTCTTGTTTTTTAATTAAAACAAAGGAAATTAGAAATCTTTCACTAAAAACTATGAAGTTTATATCGTTCAAATCTCATTTACTTATTGCCCCATTCTTCGACAATCGTTTTCTTTTTTTTGAAATATCACAAAAATTCGGCGAAAAGTAATAATTAAAATGTTGCCAATGAGATAAATTCAAAAATTTTAGCACCTTTGGCTAAAACGAATTTCAGTAATAATAATTATAAATAGAAATTCGAAAATCTTAAATTCCAAAATTACTAAAAAATACTGTTTTTAAAACCCCGGGACTCGGCGAGAAAATGATAGATGACAGGGGAAAAGAAAATCATACCCCCTATCAAAGAAAGTCTCAGAGATGGAGCATTAAAGGTAGAACACACAGAAATAAGAAGCAAAAAAAACGGAAAGAAAGTGCATGATATAAGACAAAGTGAATGATATCATGACCATTGTCATGACCATATCATGATTACAATCGTAATCTTAAACTTACACCATCATTATTATTATTATCAGATAATGTTCCATACATTAGAAAGAAGAATGGAGAGATAGAGGGAGGGGGAAGAAAGAGAAAGAAACATAAAGAGGGAGAGGAAAAAAGAGAGAAGAAAAAAAGAGAGGCAAAAACCGGAACAGAGAAATGCGAAATGTGACAAAATACTTAACTTACCGATCACTTTGCATCGTTTTGTTGATTGACGGAAAGATTGATGAGGGTGACGAAATGGCAGTTGCCGCCACCGCAGCAGCAGCAGCACCGGACATTGTACGGAGCATATTGACATATGCAACCGGATCAATCATTTGCGTATGCCAAATAGTCTTAGCTGGTGGTAATGATTGTTCCGGTGGTAGCACCAGATTTGTAGTAGTAGTAGCAGCAGCAGTGAAAATGGATGATAATGATGAAGGAGATGCAGATGAGATTGTTGATATGGTTGGTCCCGAACACATGGATATACCAGTTGATCCTAATGTGGCAACTGCAGCAGCTTCTTTTTCTTTTTGTCGATTGGCTAATTTTCGTACCATAGCATCAAGACGATTTCCGCAACCATCACGCTTACGTCGATTATGATTATTAGTGATACTAGTTGTTATATTACTCGTACTAGTACCATCCCGATTATTACCATTACTTAAACTATTATTATCATTTAATGCCAAAGTACCACTAAACATACTACTATTTGCACTAATAACACTTCGATTATTTTCCAGATGATGATGGGGTGAAGCAGATGATGCCATCATTGTTGGAATTAATGATGAACATGGTGTGCTATTTATTGAACTTGTTGATACTGGTAATTCCGGTGAAGATGTGGAAGCATTGGTGGATGATTTGAAGCTTGGTTTTGGTGATGCTAAACAGTAACCGGATGATGATGATGATGATTGTCCATGAAGATCACAATCGGGCTGTCCCTCATTTATTGTTTGTACACCACTGTAGAAAATTAAATAATATTTAGTAACAAAGGGATAACTGTTAGTAGAGAGTAAGAAGAGAATTTAACATTGTCAAAAGTTGAAATTATCAGGAGTTGAATTTAAGTCATATTTTAATTTTAATTTGGAACAAATACGCTTGTAATTGGTTGCAAAATTTAGATATTGAAATGCCGCTTAAATATCCATTCTGAGGGATGTGACAAGAGATTTGAAAAAATTTTATTAGTTGATTGAATCTCTAGCAATATGATAATTTCATCCAAAGACCTAGAAATCGTTGCTGTAAGAGATAAGGTACAAGAGGGAAGAAAAGAGGAACGAGAGGAGAGAAAAGGGAGAAGAAAATGATACCTATCAGCCTGGGTTGTCGGTGGTTCATCGACCCGTCCATTGAGAGCATCCTGGATGAATCGTTTCAATTGACGAATTTCCCTCAAAAGCTCACTCTTCGAATCATCCTTGTCGGTAATTAGCTGAAGCGGTAAGATATTCAGATCAGCGGCGACAAATACCGGTGATTGTTCTGAGCTGTTGATCCGATCGTACAAATACAACAGATCGCTGTCGTTATCAGCATGATCATCGGGATCAGTTGTACCTGTCAGATATGTGGCAGTACCCACTTCCGGTGATATGGAAGGTAAAAGCTCGGTAAGCGTTGCATGAGCCATTGATCGGGCGCTTTTTGAGAAGTAATTGTGGAGAAGCGCCTTTAATTGCTCTGGTAACAGGCTATGGCGGTAATTGTGAATAAAACAGAGGAGCGAATTGACAACAATGGGCCGATCCATTTACAGATTGATGATGATCGAGAGGTGATGGAGGTGGAGGGGGAGGATAGGGAGGGTAGGTTGACAGTAGAGAGGACACACAAGGAGGGGAGGAGGAGGAGGAGGGGGTTCGCTCGTCACAGGGAGGGAGCGATGGCGAGGCGAAAGGCAAGCAACTTGGTGTAATGTCTTCTCTCGGGACGACCGACTGATGGGCACAACTCCGTTCCGTTATCGCCACCCATCCATCCAACCCCCCAACTCAAACTCGTTATCAGAGGGAAAGCAAGGAGAGGGGGAGAGGGGGGGCACACAAGAGGAGGGGACGAGGAAAACTGTGCCCAACCCACCCATCCAAAATCAACTCACCCCCTACAAATGCAGAGAAACACACACGGATACGGACACGCAATACACGTACCTCGTTACTACTCTCCCGTATACTCCCGAAAACTATCGGTCACAACTCAATGAAACGGTCACCATTTCTCCCAAAGCAGGCAAAACTGTATTTCCTTCCAATTCCGGCTGCACTCTCCATCATCGGTACACGACGTCTTTCTATCCCCTTTCCTTGGTCCCTTCCTCCCATAAGCTTCCTTTCTCTCTAGTTCTCTTCTCCTGTCCTATCTTCCTCCTTTCCCTCTATCGGAAGCTTCCTCCTCCTTTTCTGCTAGCTGCTAGCTTAAAAAACCCCTACCCTCTCTTTCACAGTTACTTTTAAACTGTTTACAGAAATATCACCTCACCAAGAGGAAACGGGAAGGGAAGAGGAAAGAAGGAGGAGTACAAGGAGAAAGGATGAAATGCAGGAGAGAGGAGAACGGGGGAAGGGAGGACGAAGGGGTAACAGGTAAGAGGAATCATCCTAAACCTCCCATTTGCGTAGCTGTCTCTCCCAATGGATAATATGATCACATCCCCCTCCCTCCTTCTCTTAGGAATTCATCAATTTCATCCATTTGTTCCCCCCCCCCTCCTCCTCTTTCTTTCTCATTCCTCCATTACCGTAATCCTCTATTAGAGTTTTCACATTTCACCAAAAAAAATCAAATCACACCTCATTTCATTTCATTCTTTCCTCTTTTTCCTTTTATTTTTACTATTATTTATAATAATAATAATTATTATTACTATTACTATTGTTATTGCTGTTATCATCAAAATCACTTATACTATACAATTAATGGTAGGAAGAAGAGGTGAAAAAAGACGAGGGAATGATGAAAAAGAGCATTCAATATGCAAATGTACCATCCATGCGGCTACCACCAACATCGTCATCACCTCATTCTCGTTGCTTTCTATCGCAACCACAGTTTTGTTGCTGATAACACCCCATCATCCGCTCTATTATCTATGTCATAGGTATGTGTATGTGTGTGTGTGAGTGTGTGTGTGTGTGTGTGTGGGTGTGTGGGTGTGTTTCTTTCTTTGTGTAAGTGTGTGTGTCTGTACAGGTAAATATATATCTATACTACTACTACTACTACTACTACTACCATTATTACAATCATTACTATTACTAGAAGCATATCCCAAAGTCTTTACATAACTTACCAATACAATTAATGAGAGATAAGACAATTAGAGCCTCAATCAACAACATTATGCTATACTATTCTTGTATGATCTCGACGATATGAAAGATTGCATTGCATTTACCTTTCCTCCTCTTCCCAATCAATCTATTCATGCATCCATCTTTCCATTCATCAATCTTTTCACACTTCTACAATCTCATTTTTTCCCTCTTCTCTGCTTTACACTTCAATGATTTGTATTATTATTATTATTATTATATATCTTAATTAATTAGCAATTATTATTTTATAATATATTAATGAGAAATTATTTCAAATTATATAGATTTTATTTGTTTAAAATAAATTTTACTTTTGATGTTTTTTTGTTTGATTATTTAATAAAAATTTTGAAATGTTTTATATAGAATATAGTATTGATAATAATAGGCAGATTATTTTTATTTTCCTTTTTCAGGTTAGATAAAAATAATTAAAATTCATATATAAAATTTTTGTTCAGTTAAATTTCAACAAAATGACCGTAACGAAAAGATCACCAAAATTTGAAATAATCCATTCTTCTTCTCTTTTCCCTCTCTTCCTCTTCCTCTCTCCTTCTCTTTCTTTCTTTCTTCTTTCCTCAATGTCCTCTTCTAATTAAAAATTACAACATTGTGAATTATAATTCAATCATATATATATATATATCCATTACGATATAACGTAAAACTTATCCTAATTTATTTTTCCTTTACCTCTCATCCTTCCTTTTAATGATCATAATTAAAAACATTGATAATAATAGTGATAATAATAAATAATGATAATAATTATTATTAACAATATTTAATAACTAATAATAATATTGTTAAACAAACAACAGAATATAGTGAATGAATTTTAAACTGAAAAATTTCATAAATCTTCAAAAACTTTTATAGAAATCAAAAAATGATACATTTAGTTTTCATATTTGTTATATTATATATATCATATAATATAAATTTGGAAAATTACGAAATAATAATTTTGTTAATTTCAGTATTCTTTTTTTTTTTTTAATATTTATATAATCAATTTTTGTTCTTATTTCTACAACGTCTCATTTACGAATAATATTTATCATTCCTTTTTATCATTTTTTTTTCAAATGATATGTATGTCGTATTGGTGGTTAAAAATTTCCTGAAATTTACATCAAAATACGAATGTTAATTGGCATTTAAGCATTTTCAATAATATTTAAATATTTTCGAACATTTTTATAACTTTACAACAATACTTATATTTGTATATTTGTTTTCAAATATATATATATATATATATATAGTTGAAATTGTAATGAAAAAAAAGTTTGTTTTTACTACTAAATAGAAAGATGAAAAACAAATATGGAAAATATAAAATGTTCTGTTTACAAAATGGTAAAAATTGTATAAGAGGAAAGAGTGGACGAGGAAGAAGGCAAACGGATAAATAATAGTAATCACTAAGTAAATAAATGACAGATATGGATATGAAAATGATATTGTTAGATTTAAAGAATAAAATTTATCCCGAAAAAAATTTTTGAATAATATTTATATATATAATATATATTTTGAAAATTATTTTAATTGATAAAATAATTGTTTATCATTTTCTCATTTAAAAGAATACATAAATTTCTTGCAGGAAAGATAAATGATAAGAAGTTGGTTCATCACTTTGTTTTCTTTCCCCATAACAAATGCATGATTTCTATTTAACAATTATATTTATGCAAAAATTTCAACGCTAAAAAAAGCATCCTAAAACAATACTTCATCCATCATTTAAATTTGTAAAGCAAAACTTTTTATTAATGAAAATATTTAAGAACAAATTTCATTATTAATTAACAATCTTTGTCAAATTTGACAATAATGAATGATAAAAGTTTTGTTGTAATAATCATTATCAGAATTTATCACCAACAGATATTCTTCAACAATATGTATTTTTTTTTCATCATTAAATTTTAGCAAAAATTTCCACTCTATATATAGTTCAAAAAGATGAAATGATAAATTGTCAAATTGATCAAATGACAATTGATCGCCATAATTCAAACAGTTGAAAAGATGACAAGCATATATAATTGATGATGACATCAAATAGATGAAAATCATTATAGCCAACTCTCTAAATGGCTAATTTATACTATTCAAATATTTTGTTAAAAAAAGAAGAAAGTGAAATTATTCAAAATCATATCTAATAATTAAAGTAATAGCATAAATTCCAAATTACAGTATATTTGCACATATTTTAAAATTACAGTAACTCTATATGAAAGTAAGTTACTCATTTTAATTGTTCATTTTAGAAACGATTTCCTCAATTAGTGTGTCTGTAGTTATATCAACACAAACACAACAACAAGTACACGAACACACAAATACATAAACACACACACACACACACACACACACACACATACATACACACTTATTGTTGTTTGTTTATTGTAAACAAACCATTTTAATGTAATTTAATGTTAATAAATGTAATTTTTGGAATTTATTTTTTTTGTTTTTTAAAATTATTTCTTTGAAACAAAAATAAAATTAATAAAAAGATTTCAAAGAAAGACAAAATATTAGAAAAAAATGAAGAAAAGAAAAGAAAAACAGAGGAAAAAGAAAAATTAACGCTTCAAATGAAGCAAAAATTATTATGGCAGCAAACAAATTAACAAACCTAAATTAGGAGAAGAAGCGAAACGAACAATTAGTATTACAGCCAGCCAGCCAACCTGCCTACCAGAGTCAGTCAGTCAGTCAGCTTTCATTCATTTACAGAGAAAATGAAAATTTTTTAACTTTGAAAATAATAAATCTTATGTTTGAAAGAAGATGAAATAAATTCGAAATGTATGCTTTCTCTCTTGTTCTATTCATTTTTAATGCTAAATCAATCTTTTTCAACAATTTTCGAAACTTTTTTTTTGTTGTTGAAAAAGTAAGATGAAGAAAGAAAGAAGAGAGAGAGTAAGAGGGGGAAAAACGTCGTCGTCGTAGTAGTAGTAATAGTAATAGCAAATAATGACAATAATTAACAATATTTAATCCAATTATAAATAATAAAGCTCATAAAATATTCGTAAATTTTTTTCCCCTAGCATAATATTTTATGTAACATATTGAATTGATAAATATAAAATTAATAAAAATATGTTTAAATTTTAATAATGCAATAATTAATGGCAGTATGATGTTATAGAGATTTGAAGAAAAATTCAACCAGTAATAATGATAATAGTGATATAACGATAATGATAATAGCGATGATGATGAGGATGATGATAATGATTTCATTTCGTCCAGTAAAATTTCTACTTGGATTAAGCAAAATGAAAAATTCCCTTTCTAAATGGTTACTCCATCATACCGCGTATTTGTAACATTTAAACATATTAAGAATGAATTATCATCCGGTTGTTGTTAGCAATAATAATAGTAGAGATTATCTGATAAGTGGAAACAAAAAAGATAGTATCGTGCGTGTTACGCTAACGAATCTTCCCGCCAGATGGAAAATTTGAACATTTGAAATGGAACTGTATGATCGAAATTTAAAATGCTTATAAAATGGTTACGATCATTCCTCGTTGTCAGGTATTTTATTTTCTTATTAAATATTTTATTTCTTGAAAAATTTTGTTTTATATACCACGCATGTCATCATGTAATTTCTTCATTTCCTTGGTATTAATATCAATAGTTGTAAGCTGCAACTGCGTGAACGATTAGTACCATTCTTTGACCCTGTATCTCTTCATTAGAATTCTAACATCATTAAGTTCATCCACTCGTTTGAAAGTATACAACTTCTTATATAAACACTATTCAATTCAACTATTAAATCATTCTCCAGAACTTTATCCATTATCACTATTTAAATGATACTAAGCTTGCAAGCCTCCTTTTATATCAGACGAAATTTGTAACACGAGAATCTTCGGGCAGAAAATTGTCAGCAGTTCCATTCCTATTAAAGAGACCCACATATATTCACAGCCAAAATGACATCACTTTTAACGCAATTCCAAGGTATCTTATCCATTTCCATCTCATATTATTAATAAACAAGTACACTTAAACGCACTTCAACATTTCTAATTTTGTTGCTAAAATTTTGGAACGAATACGAGAGAACGATGGACAATCAACAGCAGTTATAACATGGATGATATGGTCGATCATGCAAAACGAATTTGTTGTATCGAAAAGCATGAATATACATGCACACACAGACACATATTCACAAACGTATACAAATACAAACACACACACACACATACACACACATATACGTACACGCAGACTAGTCCACATATAAATCACCGTTATTTTGGTGCCAGAATATTATTCAAGATAACCTATGTAAAGCGAAATCCAGGGCAGTTATTGAGAAGTGATCCCAAAAAGGTCGCACTAAAAATGAATTCCGAAAAAGATATATTGAAAAATGAGTCTGGATGATTTTATGAAAACACCAGAACTCGGCAAAGAAATTGTTTTGTTTCAAACTTTCTTTTTTATAAATGAATAGTCGTAAAAAAATTTCGTTCCAATTCATCAAAAGTTCAGAAAAATTTTACTAAGAGATGTTTCCACACGAAATTGTGAAAAAAGCGATTCCTGAGGGGATTTGGCTAGGCCAGATTTGAAGAAAACACTAAAGAAAAAAACAAAGAAACTTGTTCTACAACAATTGCGATTCACAATATCGAGACGAAAGATTTTAGGGATGAAAAGAGGACGATGATAAATAAAAAAAAAAACTTTAAAATAAACATATACATTGAAAGAGTCGCGCTTGGAAGAGGAAACAATGACGAGGTGAAAACAAGTTAGAAAATACGGTAAATCTAAAACAAAGAAAAAAATTTAAAGTGAAGAGAAATTTGTTTAGAAGATTAAAATAAAGCGTTAATAGTGCCATTGAATTCATCTTTTCCACATAATGCAATTTCAAACAAAAAATGATCATATCGTAGTCGATAGCTGCATTCAGAATGCATCTGAAGCAAAGTTGAATCCCAACTGACGACGTGGCGGCTGCGGTGGTCCATTATATCCAGATCCACTAAGGCCCCCTCTTCCACTACCACTACTTTTGAAACCGCCATTCATTTGACTGTTGTTACTATTGCCATTTCGGAAGCCGGAACCACGCGATCCAATGTTGGAAGCACCGCCTCGACCACCTGAACTACCGAAACCTCGACCATTACGACGACGTACACCGCGAGAGTTTCGTGGACCATCAAAGTTATTACGTCCTTGACGTCGAACTCCACCATTGCGACCACGTTCAGCATCTGGATTTTTCCCGAAATTCTCTCCTTTTGCATCACCATTCCCAAAGTCATTACACTGAGCACCATTGCCTTTAGCACGACGCACCTGTCGACGTTCATCACCACGATTTTCAAATCCATTCACCTGTTCAACACCATTAATAAAACCATCCTGCGCTCCATCCGAGCGTCGCTTCGATGACGCTTCTGGTTTTGCCTCTGAAAATAACAACTGTTACCGCTGTTTAAAGAATTCAATACTAAAATACTGGACAAAGAATTTCGAAGCTGATTGGAAACATTAGTAATTTGCTAAAGTCTCTCTATTCATGTAGTGCAATGTAAGATTTAACATTTTTAACATTATCCATTCAGTAAGCGACAACAGAAATTGCAATGATGGTCCTAATTGCTGTCTGCAGTGATTCATACAGTGAAAAAAATTAATTCATTTTTAAAAATAATGTTAAAATCTGGTTGTCCATGCTTTTGTGTACTGATTTTTATGAGTCTCAATTCAAAGGCTGAAAGCCGACTGTACAGCAGACAAAATGCGGACCGCACTTTTCATCATCAAGAACTCCTCCCAATGCTCCTCGAGTTAGACAAGCATACTCTTCTTCCTGCACAAAAACAATCAAAAGAGTATTTTATTTTCATCTCATATTTACACAGCTTCATGATAGAGCTGAAGTAAATCAGTGAACAGAAAAAACCTCCTCTTTCTTACCGGACAATCGTTTCCATTAAAAAAGTGGAGGACACATTTTCCATGAAAGCGACAATTACTAATGATATTAGAATAAAATCCAATAATATCTAAAAAATACTTAGGAAATTAACGACGAAACTTAACCTGTACGCCACACATTATGATTTGGACCATTGACGGTAATTGTAGGATCTTCTGGGACAACTGTAACTGGAAAAGGAATTGGTGGTGGTGGGTCACGTATGAGCGCTTTCGGGTCGATTCCACCCTCAAAACCAAACTCCGTATCGCCTGCTTGATTCATATCGCCTTCTGCGTAATTCTCCACTGATCCATTGGCAACATGTACAAAAACTACCTGAAAAGTTTTATTCGATGATTTCAAATAAAATTTGTTTTTAGAAAATGAAAAACTGTAAAGCATGAAATCATTTAATAATTACATGCAATGCGTAACTACATTACTGATAATATGGAACACTGTCCTGCAACAAGAGACGATTCTAAGAGACAAAGATGTTTATAAAAATTACCTTTGGATCTTTCTTCGGCTGTTCAACCTCGGATTCCACCGCAGACTCATCAGGTTTGACAACTTCATCTTCCTTTACAAGTTGATCTTCCTTAGAATCATTTCGCATGTGTTCACAATTTGCAATTTTCTCTAATAGTTCCCTAATTTGAATTCCTAAAAATATAAATGGAAAGAAGACAATGATTGTAGACTAGTTTTCCAAATATCCACTGAATACAAACTTATAAACCGAAATATAGAATAGAAATGAAGATGTTATTACCTGAGAAATCATTCACAACTTTTTCTTTGCTTCCTACAAGAATCCTATACACTAACATCAAGCCGTCTTCGCTCTTCTTAAAATCCATCATCGTTTCCGATTCACCGAATTTCAAACCAAATGATTCCGACAAATTCTCAATCAGTTTACACTCCTCTTCGGTAATCTTCTAAAGTAAAAACATTAATGAAATATGGATTTAGTAAGCAAAGATTTTTACATTATTATCAAATTTCAAAACATAATGACATGTAATGAGGTTAGAAATGCTGTTGCCTCCATTTCGTAGAATTCTAAAACTATTTAAGTAGACGAAAGTTAGCAAAAGAAATATGGATAAATCCGAATTTACCGTTCCATTATCCGTTCCATTTAGGAAGACATCCTTGTCTTCCACTTTACCGAACCGTTCGATCACATTTTGAAAGTAGATGAAATCCTCCAAATGCTTCCGTTCAAGTTCAGCTAGCTAAAATGAAGCAAACTTTCAAAACAAGGAAAAAAAACATTATTACCATTTTATTTCTAAAGTTCCAAATTCCAAATTAAGAAACCAAATTATAAACTCTTATTACGACTTCTACCCATATCATTTGCTTATACGTATATCTATTTGTGAAATTATATAATGATTACTAAAATTTCAGGCAGATTCAACATAATGTTTTGAACCCTACCGAGAAGCGATTTCAATTCGGACACAGTGTTGAGCTCGCTGAGTCATAATCCCTCCGCCAATATATCCTATTAACCATCTTCCAAAACCTCAGTTACTAACTAAGTGATCATATTCTTTCACATGCATACAACTCAGCAAAACGCAATACTTATCCACTAATCAGATAGCAAGCAGTGTCTACTTCCTAATGAATTTTGTTTTCTTTTGTGATTGAAACGACATTTTATGTATCGTCTTTTCATCAAAAAGACTTCTAATGCATAAGCTAGAAGAGAATTATGGATTTAATTGAGCGCCTTTCAATCCCACTATTTCCGTTACACACAAACATCTATGTTATGGATGTGGCATCATAATACCATAAACCTTAAAGTAACAGAAAAATCATCTGACTCAACTTACGCCTTTCTTCATCCCATCGTCCCGTTGTTTCACGCTACGGAGGTATTCCTTTTGTAGTGATTGCAAGACCTTACCAATATCTTTCAAGAACTCCAGCTGCGTATCAACTTCTCCAATACAATATCGAGCTTCGATCTGTTGATCGCTAAGTTTCTTACCGTCTTTCAAATCCGCCTCGTATTGCAGCAGACGGCTCTGAAATGTCAGTCGGTGAAAATAAGTGGTGAAAGGAATCTGAGGGAAATGAAATACCAAAACAGAATCAGTGAAAAGATGAAACAATTTTGTGGTGAAAAAAAATTTTTTAGATTATTTGTTTGTAAAATATCAACATTGAATTACTCGCAATATATACCTTACGCTTTTCCAGGTTCCGGCGTCGTTTATCGAATGCAAACTGGATACCTGAGTAAGGGTTTGACAAGATGTTATCAGTGGTGCACTGGCTACTTTCTGGTCCCTTCATGTCTAGAAGAAAGATTTCTGAAGCATCACCAAACGGCGAAATACTTTATAAAGCTCTCTGCCAGAACATGACATGTACTATCCCACCAAAGACCGTTTATAATGACATTTCGTCCTCTCTTGCCAAACTCGACATCATGAATTGATTTCAATAAGGAGAAGGGGAAAAAAGAAGTTAAATGTGTGCTTTTTAAAATTTATTTCTGCTTCTCGTGGATTCAACATATTCAACTTATCCTTCCATTCACTTTATCTGAATCTCTTGGTCTCTTATTGAAACTAAATTTTCCAAAAAATCTTTTGAACTTAAATTAGCAACAATTCTTAAACAGAAGCCAATCTTTTAAATTACTAATAAAATAATGATGAAGGCGGCTCTGCGTAATGAACTAAACTTCTTCAGAGTCGGAATTTGAAGAAAAATAAAAAAATAAGAAAATCGGAATACCAGTAGTGGATAAGTCCGCCTTATTCGGATGGGACAAATTACGCCAGGAAAGGTAACGAGAGCCAAGCGCTTCGAAGACCGACATTGCAAAATAATGAATTAACAATGCTGGATGGGCGGAAACGAAGGGAGGAAGATTTGAGAAAAACGGTGGAGTAAAAATTTGCATAAATTTACAAAAGTAAGTTGAGGAAAGCATTACCTATGTTTTTCGTTCAGTTTCTTCTCTCCCTCACCCTTCTCCTGTTCCCTCTCCCTCTCCCTCCTATTGTGTCTGATGATAGGTGGGTGAAAGAGAAGGAAGATCTAGAAGGAAACGACGGGGTAAAAATTTGTTCACAAGTTCAAAATTTGTTCAAGTAAAATCCAGAAACCATAACGCATGCTCTTCCTCTTCCTAATCTTACCGTTATGCCCAAATGAATGTGAGAGACGTTGACTTAGCAAGCTCAGGGAAATTTAAAAAAAGTACCCAATCTCAATCCTGAAATATGAAAAGTAGCGAGAGCCGGATATATCACCGGAGTAGAGCTAGAAGATAAAATCAGAGTAAAATGTAGCTAAATGCATTTTAATTGAAAAACTAAAATTTATAACTTTTACAAATTTTGTACGTGAGAGACGATTAGCTTGGCTGGATCCGCAATGACTTTCATCCGTTTTTTTTGTCGAAAATTCGACAGTAGAACCCAGGAATCCATCACTGATCTAATTGTCAAAATGCGAAAGCCCAAAACAGGCCAAATTCATCCCCTCCTTCTCACGACCTCTGACCCCAAGAGAACTGCCACACACCATTTCAACAAAGCCGTCAAACTATACCTTATCCTTCCCCCATCATCCACTGGAAATTGTCCACGCCCTTCGACGATTAGCAACGTCGAATTGTGAAATGGTCGCGAAGTGAAATGAAATCGTCCATTGTAGAGGCAAAATCTAAGCCATAATAAAGTTTTATTTTCGGAATGACAGATTTTAATAATTAATTGATCTTAATTTAGCTCATTCAGTAATGAATTCCAAAAATCAAGAAAGGGGCACTCAAACTTCAATAAATTAATTTCAATAAATAAACAGCAGCGGGAAACAGGAAACTGCGTGAATTCGAGAAAGATAAATAGTAAGTCATACTTTAGTAAGTGATTCCTATAAGAATTTCATTTCTAAATTGGTTTTTTACAAAGTTGAAATTTTTTCCCAAATAAGAAATCCTATGGCTACAAACCTATTTCCGAAACCCGTTCCGGAGACACGATTATTTATTCTAATCGCAGAAGCAAATTTAGCCAACGATAATCTGCTCATATTCAAAATGGCGCTCCAATAAAGAAGCAGAGATGGAAACGGTATCCACATAGGCGGCAATTTAAACAAGATTTATCCAAGTTTATCAAATATAAAATCTCTTGCCTGCAGAGGAGAGGTTCAGTCCGTACAACCTATAAAATTATTCCATTGAAAAGTACCCGTTTATATTTGCTGTATTTCAAATTACACGATAATACTACATGTGTCGATGGAACTAATCATCTTTTTGTCAGCTAATGTTCTAAAATTCATAGGTGTTCATTCCGTATTCGTGTTATTTTCGGTTTGTTTATTTTATACATTCGCTTTCCGTAGCATCACATTGTTGTTAAATATCTTTTAATTCATTACAGGATTAAATCCAAGGATAAAATCCTGTCTTTTATTCAGAACGATTCCAATTTTTTTTACCTTTTATAAGTTACACCTGCATATGTATCATATATAGACGTATAAGTACATAACATTCCCACATGTAAACCACACATATCTCATCGACATCTAACGCTTAAACTTCTAAATTTACATCACATCAACAAGTAAATCATACACTTGCGTAAACATACACGTACGACGGATAGATATACATGGCTATTGTTTTCTGCAGGAAACAGTCGTATGACAGCAAAAATCAATGCAATGCAGCGTGCATGTATGTGTATGTTGTGTGTGCGTGTTGTTTGTTTATGTATATATGTTTATGTATGTATGTATGTATGTATGTATGTATGTATGTATGTATGCATGTATGTATGTATGTATGCATATGTTCGCGTGGCATCCCAATGATTGCATACTAGAACAGCAGGTTGCACCTGTTCTGTGCTTGTCTAATAGTGCGCTTCACCACAGTACTGCGCTTGCGCATATTAGTTGTGCGCTGAGTTTACACGTGTTGTCAACGTCATGGGATCTCTGTATTACATCGTTGTACGAACCTCTCAATTTAACAACAATTCATGGTTGTGGTTTTACGTAATGATATGATTTTTGAATATGCAACGCACGTGAAAGCAATAAATTCAGCGAATTCTTTTGAATTTTTCAGATTTGCACGGTTTAATTTTAGGTTGTGGTGGTTATGGATGATACATTGGTACCATGAAGAGAGCTGATCGTTTGCGCGAGGTTGTGAAAATTTATAATTTTTTGTCAAAATTTTCCAGTTTTAAGTGATAATTGTTTCTCTGTTATATCTTTATAAACATTTACGCATAGTGAAGGATGTTCAAGACAGGTTTAGTGAAAACCGGGATAAACCTGGTGTAAATTTATGAAGGGAAAGCAAGAGAGGATGTTTCTGAAAATTATTCGATTCCGCTTTTGGAATATAGGATAAACTAATATGATTTAAATGTTTATTAGAAAATGTATTCTCTCTTTTTTCATTACGATCATTTGTTGACATCTAAATTTTTGGCCCTTACTGAACCTAGCCTGAACGTCTCTTACTCGAGGCTGAGATCGGAGGTCTATTTAGGCACAATATATGTTTTTCTGAACTTTTAAAGAAGGCACATAAAACACAAGTTAGTTGGCATTATGGACATGCGAAATCATAATGTATATCGGTACCCAGTCACTGAATTTAGATTGAAGAGGCTGATGGTGTGGTTGCTGAGAAATGCAAAATTTTGGCTGATTTACTAAAGAAATCAAAATGCACTGTCGTTTATACTGGAGCCGGAATCAGCACGGTGTGATTTCATCTTTAAAAGAATTTAATAGAGCATTTCTCCTTTCTTTGCAATAATGGCTTTTTTCTGAGTTGCAAAATTGAAAGTCATTGCTCGAGTTAGAAAATATCACATAGTAGTTTCAGGTGTGCAAGTAAGTTGTAATAACAAAATACAAATAAATTTTTAAAGAGATTAGAAATACTAGCTTTCGGATGATAGTTTACTCATGAATTTACTGGATTATTGAGAATCTTTGATGAAATTTTTAGTAACATTCCAGGCGGCATCAATACCAGATTATCGTGGTCCTAATGGTGTTTGGACATTGGCTGAAAAAGGAATCGTATCTTTCAAGTTTGTATTTAATATTGTCCTACTTCTTGATACTGTTGCCAAATCGTTATTGTGCACTCTCCTGTACGTACAGTATCATGTGCTAAGTGTGTCGCGTTACTATGACAATTGGCTAGCTAATTCATAACTTCGATGTTTTTATTTCATTGCTATATGTTACTTTTACGTTCATATCACGTTCCTGAAGTATCCATATCCACTAACAGTTGTTTTTTTTAGATGTGCAAATCCGGTGGAATCGGGACCAACTGCAAGTCATATGATATTAAAGGAGATGTGTCGGAGCGGATTGGTGCGTCATATATTGTCACAGAATTGCGATGGTCTTCATTTGCGTTCAGGCTTACCACAAAAAATGCTTTCTGAAATCCACGGAAACATGCATATTGAAGTATGTCAACATTGTGAACCACCACGACAGTACGTCCGACCTTTCGATGTCACTGAAAAAAGTCAGTTCAGGTTAGCTTTGAACGACGTTTCTTTAAATAATTTCATCCATTTCTTCTCAAACTGCTACATATAACCGTTTTTACTCGTAATTTTTTGTTCAAAATTATGCTGAACAAAAATTTTACAATGTGGCTTTTGCATGTTGAATTTCCTTCACTAAAAAAACTGTGCAGTATAAATAGAAAACTTTAGCATGTTCGTTAATTTTTTAGTTGACTCTGAATATTCCTCTCCACTTTAGGCGTCATGGCACTGGCCGCATGTGTGTGGTATGTAATAATGAATTAACGGATACAATTGTGCATTTTGGTGAGGCTGGTAAGGTACCATGGCCATTAAACTGGAATGGAATTATTTCCTTAATGGGTCGGTGTGATCTCATATTATGTATAGGAACAAGTTTAGCTGTCCTCAAGGAATATCATTTTTTGTGGCCAAAACCAAAAAGTGGTACACAGGTTCGTTGCAATAATAGTGTTATTGATCTGTGTTGTTCCTCTATCTATTGTGATCTTATTCTATGACATTACTGATGTGTTTAGCCTGGCAAATTGTACTTTTTACAGATAGCGATTATAAATCTGCAATGGACACCGAAGGATAGGTTATCTTGTTTGAAAATTAATGCAAAATGTGACGTCGTCATGGAAAAACTGGCGGGTCTTCTGGGAATTCCAAATAATCGTTATTGCCGGTCATTTATTATTTTACACTTAATTTAATTAATTTATGGGTATATTTTGAATGAGTTATTACAAAAAATCAGTGTTGTTTAGATTCTATATTCGTAAAAAACTTTGAAATATTGCAGGAACTGTGATCCGGTGCTTAATCCAAAACGGAGTGTACGTGTTTGGGAGTTAAGAGAACGCTTAACGGACTGTACTTGTCGAAACCGCATATCACGTTCAACTGTTCAACAGCAACCTTCAGAGGGTATTCCTGGATGGTGGGCATTTGAAATTCAGAAAGCAATAAAGAGATCTTCACAAAGTTAGTTTCCTTAAATCTTTCTTAGTTGTTATTGTTTTGAAGACCGTCAGGATTCATTGCACGTCGGTTCAATTCATTTTTTTAGCATCTCGTGGAAGCTCTGGAAAGCGTCATTGCTCGAACAGCTCCCATCGCAATGATTCCTCAAATGCTGCTTGTGATTTAGTTTCGGGAAGTTCAGGGGATGCAAGGAACGCCTTAGATAGTATGCTGTTATCGACAAAAGAACAAAACAACGAATCAGTGAATGAAAAAGGAATATTGCCAAGTGGCAGCGAAATAAATCCAAAAATTTTTGCCAATAAGAATTCTAGCAGTTTATCTGAAAACTCGACTGAAATATCATGTACGGATGGGAGTGTTGTGGATCCTGCAGTTGCAGAATGTTTATGTGGTATTTTACTGTCGCTTAAAAAGGAGCCAAACTCGTTATCAGTAGCTTCAAAGGTGCAAAATGTGGTACCTAACACCATATCCGTTTGCACTTAGCTCTCTATCACCACTTATATAGGGATTTGCTTCTGTTATTTTGTTAATGGTATTATAAATTTTTTGAGATATGATAATTCTTTTTTCTTGTGTTTACAAAACAGCATATTGTGATCCAATTATGTGTTTTGTGTCACCAATATTTACGATTTTTCATTTGAAAAGAGATTAACGCGATATATTTCTCAAATTATTGTCCAGATTTGTTTTATCTGTTCGATATATGTATTTTAATAATTTGTTTCTGAAAGTTTCTGCAGGTTTCCATTCGTTTTTTGCAAATTTAATTGTATTACTAGGCTTCTTTATCTGAAAATATTGATACGTTTTTCGTTTTTTTGTAACTTTGAAGCTATTGAAAATTGTACCATCAAAAGGTAGATTAAGGCATATAAACAACTATTCATACATGCAATATGCGTTCTGCACGAATGGAATAGATATAGCAGAGGAATTTATTACCATAACTGGAAAACTTCCGGATCCTTTATTGAAATTTACATTTGTCATATTTGCCATTATCGTTTGCTTTGTCATGATCCGTATGTCCTGATTTTTTTCGCTTCTTTCTGATTTGTATTGCAATAGCCGCTGTCAAAAATTGCTTTCTACTCTTTTTGATGTTAATAAAAGCTCTTTTGTCTTCGTTTTATTAATTTTCTCATTCCTCTGTTATCATCATCTGTTTCCAGTGTGTTTTGTTCAATGTATTATATAT